TCATTCATAATTTGTCATTTAGAGCTACTTGTTTTGTGTCCCATCTATTTAAAGTAGATTTTTTTTGGATTTATACTCATACAAGTTGTCATCTGGAAACATGACTTTTCTTTAGTATTGATGTTTTTATTCTTTGATCATTTTGTCAAATGAGCAAATTGTTATTTGTTCATTTTTCCAAATGAGCAAAGAATAAAATGCTTCCTGGTAAGATGTTTTACATTATCTATTCTATTCTTCTGCTTCCTGTTTTACCCTCCTTCCTTCATTTATATTTTTTAAAATTATCTTGTGGCTTTATTTTTTCTATTTTATTTCTTACAAGTGATAATCATTGAAAACTTCATGTGAAGTACACCCAGTCAATAATTTCAAGTGAAGTAAGCACAATTCAGTTCGTTAAACAAATTCCCTAAGGGAAGAAAAAGCAGAAGAAAGTTTATGTTAAGGCTGAAGAAGAAAAGGTTGAAGAAGAAAAGGCTAAAGAAAGCTACTTGTACTGTTATGAAACCTCGGTATTTTACTTGGTAGTGTTGATTTAGATACTTGGTGGTGTTGATTTGGCTTTCTAGGTTTAGGGAAGTAGAGAAAGAATGATTTTATCAACCTGTAAGTAGTTTAGTAGTGTTGATTTGAATCGAAATTAGATACATAGTTTGAATCAATATTAGATCTTTGTTAGTCTTTGAATGATGCAAAATGGTGGTTATATTTGAATCGAAATTGGATCTTTTGTGGTGACTTTTGATTATGGTGACTTTTGTGGTGGTTATATTATGGTGACCTTTTTTTTTTTTTTTTTTTTTTTTTTTTTTTTTTAATTATGGTGACTGTTATACCTAGCGTTTTTTTTTTTTTTTTTCTAATATTTGCTCATTTTACAAATGAGCAATGAACTATTTGCTCATTTTACAAATGACTAAGGAAATATTTGCTCATTTGTCAAGTGAGCAAATAATTGATTGCTCATTTCACTAAGGAGCAAAAAAATGCTTGTTGATTTAATGAATGATTAAAGAAATGTTTGCTCATTTAACAAATGAGCAGCTTATTATTTGCTCATTTGACAAATGAGCAACTAAGTTTTTGCTCATTTGTTAAATTAGCAACTAACTATTTGCTCATTTGTTAAATTAGCAACTAACAATTTGCTTATTTGACAAATGAGCAACTAAGTTTTTGCTCATTTGTTAAATTAGCAATTAAGTATTTGCTTATTTGACAAATGAGCAACTAACTATTTGCTCATTTGCTAAATGAGCAAAAAATTGATTGCGAATTTCCCAAATGATCAAAAAATTGATTGCTCATTTCCCAAATGATCAAATAAATTTTTGCTTATTTGACAAATGAGTAACTAATTATTTGCTTATTTGACAATTGAGCAAACTAATGGTTGCAAAGAAATGCTTGTTGAATAATGAATGATTAAAGAAATGTTTGCTTATTTGACAAACGAGCAACTAACTATTTGCTCATTTGACAAATGAGCAACTGAGTTTTTGCTCATTTGTTAAATTAGCAACTAAGTATTTGCTCATTTGACAAATGAGCAACTAACTATTTGCTTATTTGCTAAATGAGCAAAAAATTGATTGCTCATTTTCCAAATGATCAAAAAAAAGTTTGCTTATTTTACAAATGAGTAACTAATTATTTGCTTATTTGACAAATGAGCAAACTAATGGTTGCTCATTTACAAATGAGCAAAGAAATGCTTGCTGATTTAATGAATAATTAAAGTGATGCTTGCTCATTTGAATGAGCAGCTAATTCTTTTGCTCATTTGTACGAACTATATATTCAATAAATAATAGCCAAAGTTCCATATGATTCAATGATAGAATCAATTGCTACAAGTTTATTCAATAGCTAATTTGCTCAACCTCATAACATTCCGATGACTAATGAAATCAATCTCATAATGAACAAGACACTCCTACATGTTTAAGAAAAATTGATTACTCATTTGTGAAATGAGCAAATAGCTGACTCTGTTAAGAAATATAAAATTAACAAAATTTCAACAAAATTAAAAACACAAAATTTCTATATGTTCGATAAATAATGAGGGGATGTGCTAAAAACATTAAATCTTATATGTATATAAAAGTATCATTACACTTTTTTTGGACAATTTCTAACATCATGATGACTTAATTCACCACAACCTCTGCATAATCTCTTCTTTTTCTGGTTTTATTCTACAACTTTCTCTTTTTCTCCCTTTAGTTTTTTTGCACTTCTACCTCTTGTTTCAATATTTGACTCATCAATGTCAGTCCGTTTCTTGTTTGTATTCTGTTCATTTGATGCATGAACTCCAGTGCCTTTATTCTTTGAAATTTTGGGAGGTTTGACAAATATTTCCGCTGGCACACTAACTCCAGTCATTTCGTTGTTGCTCATCATTTTTGTCATTAAACACAATAAAAATAACAAGTCATGAACAAGTGAAGAACAATTCAACAAAATAGTAACAAGTGAATCACACAAAATATAGATAACATAACTGTAATTGATCTGCTGCAATTCTGCACCCCCTTAAACACACTTACCACACACACATACACACTTTCAATAATTAGAACTGAAATCAGAAGCAAACACACACACAAACAAATTTCAGAATCTAAAATTAGAACTGAAATCAGTTTCTGAAAATCAGAATTGCAAGCAGAAGAAGGGGGGGGCAAGGGGGATAAGTTAGTGTAGGGAAGTGGAAGAAGGGAGTGGGGTTGGTGTGCAGGAAATAGACCAAGAAGGGGGTGGGGCTTGTGCTAATTATTTTTGCTCATAATCTATTTGCACATTTTTTTCAGAACAACTGTGTTTATTCCTTAACTAACAATCTTTACATAATTTGTAGCTTCCACTTTATCTGAATTATAACTGTTGATTATTGTAAGATTGAGTTATTCTTGCTCCTATAGTTGGAAAAGAAAAATGCATTGTTGTGCATATTGTGTATACTGAGTACTTATAGATCCTTGAATTACATGTGAATCTCATTAATATTTCCTCATTTTAATTCTATTTTGCTCAAGTTCAGAAAACAGTAAGAAATGTTCTATTATACATATTTAGGTTTGCTCATTTTAATCTATTTGCTCATTTTAAATTTGATTGAAAATAAGAACATAATAACAACATTCAATTGAAAATAAGAACCTACTAACAACATAATAAGAGCATTCAATTAGAAATTTCAGAACATTTCTTAATTTGTGATCGTAAGTTTAATCTGACATCATTACAATCACTATCAAGTTTAATTTGATATTATTAAAATCTCTATCAAATTAATCAAACCTAAATAATTGATTCAATTAAAAAAATTTCAAAGAACTACATTCAATCAAATCAATAATAGCAATTCAATGATTAGTGCAATTCAAAAATTAACATGTAATTAGACAATTTTAATGAAAATCTAATTAAATTAACATGTAATTCAATAATTGATGCAATTCCAAAATTTTCAGAGCTGTAAAATCAAAAAATTTTGAACATTAAGATTAACATGCAATTCAAAATTAAAAGTACGAACAACCCTCAATGGTTGATGAAATTGTCGACCGTTGAAATTATTTACTGTTTAACAAGAATAGGAGAGAGAAATTGTCAACCGATGATAATTTCTAATTAGTTGCCATTGTTGAGCTTTGAGGTGCAGAAAGAATAGAGAGATTACTTGTGAGAAAGAAGAGCCTAGTTAATGAATCGCCATTAATAGTTTTTGAGCTTTGATTTGCAGACAGAATAGAGGAGAGAGATAAAACAGAGATTGAAGGTAACAAAATTTCAATATGCGTAATTGTTAGGGAGGCTTTGGGTTATGATCTTAGCTGTTGGATTTGATCTAATCTAGCAGCTGAGATTTGTCCTCATATAAGGTGTGAGTTCTCACATAAAGGATGGTTGTCACCGGATCCCGACCATATATATATATAACACATCCTTACAATAGTTTTTTTCAAAAAATAAAAAAGTTTATTTACTTATATTTTGGTGCAGGGGAAGGACAAAACCCTAAAGGAAAAGAAAAATAAACAACAAACAAAAAAAGCACAAAAAAATAAAATACAAATAACGAAGCATTTACTCAACGTCAACACCAACCAAGAGCACCAATCTTTCTCAACACTGCTTGGCTATGCCACACACCACCGAGATCCTCCACTAATACGACATACAAATCTTTAGGAACCGCCTCAAACACAACTAACTTTTGTGACAAATTAATCCCATAATTGACTAACCAGCTAGCTGCTTAGTTAGCTTATCACCAATTGCTAATACGGAGTAGTAATCTTCCATTCTTTACTACTCTATATCAAGGAGAGCCTAGTTGGCCCTAGTAGAGGTTTACAATTAGAGCTGAGCAAAACTATTTGAAAATCCAATCCAATAAATTAGGATACCTGATCTGAAATTTTCGAATATCTTCAGATATCTGATACCTTTTCGGATATCCGATATTCAAAAAATATCTAAAATATTTTGGATTTCGGATATTGGATAATGGATATCCAATCCAAATATCCATATTTTGGATATCAGATATCCGAACCAAATATCCATATTTTGAATATCGGATAACAGATATTCGAACCATATATCCAAAAATTTATGTATTATTTTACATTTTATTTAGAAATAAATAAAATTAAAAATTATTATATAATATTTTGGATATCAAATGTTTGGTGCATCCAATTTAAAATTTTTTGAATCAAATATCCGATCCGTGATCACCCGTACTCTACCATCTACATGCATGTATGACTGCATGTTACAATCTCATGAATTAGTTAAAGCCAAAGAACTTGGACAACAAATATTTCATAATTGGGCCCCAAAATTGAAATAATTTGTACTACTCGTACTGTACATCATTTGAGTTGGCACACTCCAAAAATTCCTCCATTTTTCAACCCAAACCCGCCCATTTTTTTTTTTTTCCTTTTATATCAAAAAAATAATAAAAAAAATGCAACAATCCAACTCACTCTCCTCCCACTTCCCCCCATTCACAACCTCTCCTCTTCTCCCGTCTCCCCCATTTCCCTCAATTTTCTCTCTCCTACCTTCTTTCTTCTGCAACTCCTCTTTCCGGCATTTCGTCGAACACCTTCCAATCAATTGCCCAGAAATTCATCTCATCAACAACTTCAACAATGTCGCTTCGACCCAATTCCAGAACCGAGGTCAGGAAGAAGTCTTACAAACTTGGCGTCGATGCTGACGAAGCTCGCCGTCGTAGGGAGGACAATTTGGTTGAGATCAGGAAAAATAAGAGAGAAGATAATCTTTTGAAGAAGAGGAGAGAGGGTATGGTTCTTCAATCTCACCCTCAACCCCTCAATCACGATGCTTCTCAGAATATCGAGAAGAAGGTAAAATTTTATTTAATCGTACATTTTTTTTGGAATTGTTGTTTTTTGTTTTTTGGGCCGATCCTTTGATTTCTGGGTTGTTTTGTTTTGTTTTATGATTAATCTGTGTTTTTTTTAAGGTTTTGATTAGGTTTAGGTTTTTGGTCGTGTTGTTTGTTTTACTTGGGAAGTGTAGTTTTAGGGTTGATTTACCGTGTTGGAGTTTTGCCGAGAGGATTAATTGATGTTATAGCTCAGATTTGATGGGTTTTAAGCGTGATTGGTTAATGAGGGGAGAGAAGTGAATTGAGAATTGTATTTTATGATAAGTTTTGGTTTTTTCCTTGCGAAAGTAGTTTGAATCCAGTGAGTTATGTAACTTGGATTTTGGGATAAGGATCGATTATGAGCCGTGATCGTTGATTTTAGAGTAGCTTTGTCTGCTCTTGGTTTGGTTTGTAGTGTTTGAATGTGAGATCATATCCTCTTACTTTAGTATTTTGGGTTGGAATAAAAGTCCAAGAGATTTAAACTATTGCCAAGTTAGTTTGCTTGGGGAGTGGTCACCTAGGTTCTACCTCTTACATCTGCCTGCTTGATGCACCATGTATTTTGTTAAATGCTATTCTATGAAGATAGTCGAATATGTCTTAATTCACAAACCCTAACTTTTAGAAGCGTTGGGAATTAGGCATACAAGTAGGAAGACTGTTGGCCTGTTTATGAAACTAGGTATAATCACTACCAAGTTTCGTTACATAATGAGTTGGTGAATATCTTTGAGTTAGTATAGTCAAACATTGATATTGCCTCAAGTTTGACTAAGACAGATGGAGCACCAATTTGCATTATCTTTTTAGAGCTGTGAGCGTAGAGGAGTTTTCTGAATCCTTTTTTTTAGACTCAAACTCTAGAAGCTTCTGGATTCCTTAGGAGCTTGCTAAGATTGTTGCCTCATTGAGTTTTAACTGGCTTCCAGTTGGTTATTTTCGCCCCTTGCCCATCTTCGGCCATCTGTTGTCAATTGGTGCAACATCCTTAGTGTTTTTCTGATTTTCCTTGTTGTTATGACTTTTAGAAATAAAATAGGTTATAATCTGTCTGGTTTGAACAATTTCAATCTAATTTGGAGGTGGGAAGGGACGAGTGCCATAATTTTAGAGTAGTTTATGGAATAAATAGTTGCTGCCACTTTGTGAAGTTTACTATCCCCTCAACATTATGAAAAATTATATGCTTAATAGGTAAATAAAATTAATTTAGCTGGGAGAGAACTTAATATATGAAGAGGGCCGTTAAATTGCTTTATAGTTATACTTACCTTGAGAGAGATGAGCCTGAGCTAAAGGGTAATTTGTTGCAGTTGATTCATGTTAAAAGAGGGATAGGTAGAATAATATGGGTTGAGGGCATGATTAAAGGCTTGCATTTGCAGTTGTCCATTTTGTGCTAGCTATCTTCATAAAAAAAAAAAAAAGCTCGGGGAGAAATAGGTTCACATTAGGGCCAATAAGTTTAGATTATTTGAGATAAGTAGATAAGGGCTACCAGGCCCTATTTACTGGAATCATAACCAATAATAAGTTTAGGTAACTATTAATCTCAGATCTGATCGTGGTAAACTGGTAATGGGTGTGGAACCACTGTTGCTGGCAACATGGATAGTTTGTTAATTATGCAACCTTATCCTCAAAATTGCAAAGCGGATTCTTGGTTTTAGCTGTATTTTGAAAGTGTGATGACTCCATATTTGGATTGTGAATCATCTACCAAGGTCACAAACTCACAATGTCTCATACTCACTTTTTTTTTTTTTTTTTTTTTTTTTTTTTTTTTTTTTGCCTTCGTAGAAATCGTGGGGCGGGATGTTCATTTGTTTCTTTGATATTGGTATAGGGTAAATTCTCTGGTATCCCTTGATAGATTCATATGTGTGTTAAATATTTTGATAGCTATATAGATCAGCATAGGAAAGTATATTTTTTTATTAAAAATCTTTGATTTCTTTTTACTATTTCTTCTTTTGTTCAGGAAGTCCTGTATGGAAATTATGAGAAAGCAATTTTTTCTTGCTATCTACAATCTGATTTAAATCTTAAAGTTTGGTGTTACTAATAGGACATAAAAGTGTATACTTGTCTTTTGAGTTTATCCATTTTGACATGGCTATTCTAGTATGGCTTTTGTGGCTATTTTGTTGGAATTGGGAATATAATATACAAACAATAATCATATTTTTGAACATCTAAAGATCTAAATTTTACATGGCCAAGGAAGTAGTTGGAGTATTATACCAGGAGGCCATGTGACAAATTGACAATGCGACTTGTGAGCATATAGGCTAGTGGTGGCATATCACATTTCAACTGTTTCATCTCGTTTCTGTGTAGCAGTTGGAAAGCATCCCTATAATGGTGCAAGGAGTGGCGTCTGCTGATGCTAATATTCAATTAGAGGCAACCACTCAATTCAGGAAGCTTTTGTCTATTGGTTAGTATGAACTTGCCCTCTGGTATACATCCTTCTTTCATGGAACATGTTTTTGATACTGTATTGTATTTCTTTACAGAACGCTGTCCTCCAATTGATGAAGTCATTAAAGCTGGTGTTGTCCCGAAATTTGTGGAATTTCTTGACAGGCATGATCTTCCTCAACTTCAGGTTGGATTTCTTGTCAATTTTTTGTCTCATGATTAATACCATTGCAGGTCTCTGTTTGATGATCTATTATCTGTCTTATCTGCAGTTTGAGGCTGCTTGGGCTCTGACCAATGTGGCATCTGGGACTTCAGAGCACACAAGAGTTGTGATTGACCATGGTGCTGTCCCAAAGTTTGTTCAACTTTTAGCGTCTGCTAGTGATGATGTCAGGGAACAGGTAATTACTTCTTTCTTTTTTTTTTTTTTTTTTTTAATTTTTTTTTGCAATTTTTGCTGTGCACTTTTCTGGCTAATTTCTTGAAATTAATCTTGATTATAAACAAATTTTTTAATTCAGTTGTATTTCTCTTGTGAAAAATCACACCATCTTGTAGTTTGAATCATTGCCTTTATATAGTTAATACTACGGCTGTCAAAAGCTGACACGAGTCACACGGCACGATAACCCGACCCGAAATAAGCGGGTTTGGGTCAAGAATTTTCAACCCGTTTACATAATTGGGTCGACACAAACCCGACACGAAATTAAATGGGTTAGGTTTGGGTTGAAATTTTCAACCCGAAACCGACACGCATAACCCGATTACATAAATGGGTTGAACAACAACCCATTAATCCAAACCAGATATGCTTAACCTATTAGTTAAGTAGTAAAAAAAACTGAATTTTTTATTCAAAAGTTGTAATATTGTATTGCCTTGGCGCCACTTGTACATTTTGGTAAATTTTTGGTGGTTAATTTGGCGGATAAATTAAAAATTTTCAACTTTTGTAAATTAAAAATTTGGCAGTTAATTTGGTAATTCTTATGTATGGTTGTGTTGCTAAAACTACTACTCCGTAGCTTTGAACTCTTGTATTATCTTTTGCTAAAACTATAAATTTAAAATCTTGTAGTATCTTTAATGAATTAATTATGTATGTCTTTTTAATTTGTAAATTGAATACTTCTTCCGTTTTATTTATAGTTGCAACAGTTTGACTTTTACACTATTCATGTGTTTCACTTTGACTAGTTTTAACAATTTATATTAAAGTAAAAATATAGTCATGTGGGATCTTGTTAGATTCGTATTGATTTATACAATTTTAATATCAAATGTTTATAATTTTTACATATTGGTAATTAAAAATATAAATGATTGAAAACATGCATCGGCAAGCGTGGAAAGAGAAGTGTTGCAACTATAAAAAAAACAGAGGAAGTATTAATTAGTTTATTACATATTATGTGGGTAAAAGGTTACCCGCTTAATAAGCGGGTTAGGTTTAGGTCAAGGGTTTTCAACCCGTTTAATAAACGGGTTAGGTTTTGGTCAAGAGTTTTTCAACCCGTTTAACATCAACACGAACACGAACTCGACATGACACAACCCGTTTGACAGCCTAGTTAATACTAGTTTTATTTTCTTTGGTATATTGATATTTATTCTGTTCAATTTTCTTTTAAGGATTTTGAAGAGATATATTAATTGGTTTATTAGGAACTTTGTTTAATTCTGTGTATCTTCTATCTGTCATGCTTGTGTTTATCTTTCTTGGTGATGGTGTAATGAGATGTAAGAACTCCCGAATTTTATCATTGGCATTTGACGTGCAGGCTGTATGGGCTTTGGGAAATGTTGCTGGTGATTCTCCAAGCTGTAGGGATCTCGTACTGAGTCATGGTGCACTAGTGCCATTGTTATCTCAACTGAACGAAAACTCCAAACTGTCAATGCTAAGGAATGCTACTTGGACATTGTCCAACTTTTGTCGTGGCAAACCACCTGCACCCTTTGAACAGGTTTTTATTTTATCTGATGGCGTGATTTTGGCAGAAAATATTGAGTGAGAGACCATGTATTGAATATGTTTTGCTTGGTTTTCTCAGGTCAAACCTGCGTTACCTGTTCTTAAACACCTTATTCATTTAAATGATGAAGAAGTTTTAACAGATGCCTGCTGGGCCCTTTCTTATTTGTCTGATGGCCCTAACGACAAAATTCAGGCTGTCATTGAAGCTGGAGTATGCAATCGGCTCATGCAGCTCCTTCTGTATGTTATTGTACTAATGTGCTTTCTTTTTTTTTTTTTTTTTTTTGTAATATACATGCTTTCATTTCATTGTGTTTTAGTTTGGTGATTAATTTTTCGAAACATACTCTACCCTTGATGTTGTGACTAATTTGAATCTTTACTTCATCTAGTCATCCTTCACCGACAGTTCTTATTCCTGCTCTTCGGACAGTAGGGAATATTGTCACTGGAGATGATAACCAGACCCAGGTACTGATCTTGGTGTACTTATGGTTGGTAATCTTTTAGTTTTTGTTGTTTACGGCATTTAGCTAGCTGTATCTTCCCCTTAAAAAAAATATAATAAATAAATAAAAAAATAAAAAAAAACCCCTAGCTGTATCTTTAGAGTTATTTATTTATTTTTTTTTCATTCTCTTTTCTTCTTTTATTTTTATTTTTTAAATGTAGTATTTTTTTTTTAATGTAATTATTTTTCTTCTAGAGGTTGCTTTAGCTAATGGAACAAAGAAAGGCTATGGCTCATTAAGTTTACTTTTGGGAACATTATTTTAGGGGTCTGATATTGTGCAAGCATATATGTAAAACAAGTTTCCTTAGGAAGAAGTTGGTAATATGAATTATAAGATGAAAAAAAAGGTGATCTTAGATGTTCAAGCACTCAAGCCTTTTCTTAGCAACTACTTGTGAACGAATAATGTCTAGCTCTCTTTCCATATTTTTATGTCAATCTTTTATCACTCTATATTTTCTTTACCTGACTTGTTATATTGATTTTGCAGTTTGTGTTAGACAATCAAGTTCTTCCTTGTCTTCACCAACTTCTCACTCAAAATCACAAAAAGAGCATCAAGAAGGAAGCATGTTGGACAATATCAAACATAACTGCTGGAAATAAGGCTCAAATTCAGGTCCTGATTTGATTTTGCTAATATTTTGGCTTTCTTTTGTGAAGACTTTTTCTTTGCCTAATACCTATATGATTAATGTGTAAAAACTGGCACCATTTATTTCTCTAATGTGTTTGCAAATGTATTGGCCAGACTTGTGGCTGAAGGAAGTGCTTGATATGCTTCCATGCTGGATTTTTTTTTACTTGTGTTTTTTCATAATTACTGCTTGCTATGTTTCTCAATCGTCGTTACCAGATTGGCGCCTACCCCCCACGAATCTCGATTGGGTTCGCACGAACCAATTCGTGGTTCGTCGTGTCCCAATTCAGTGTAGTTCGCGAACCGAATGCTGGTACCATCATCCGAATCCGCAACCCTAGTTTTAGCAATTGAAGGTCAAGGGTGGCACATTAATTATTGGAAAAGGTGTAAATGTTAGGGCTTTTGGTAGCCCTTGCGAGAGGATTCCCATGATAGTCTTTCTGAAAATTCCGATGCGAAGTGTTGAGAGGAATGATGTTGAAAATGGCTGGGGAAAACAGAGTTAGAAAACAATTAAAGAGAAGGGTGTGGTGAGGAGTGAGAAAAACATGTGGCAAGTAGATAATTTGAGCGGTCAATAAGTAATTTTTTTTTTATTATTTTGATCGCCATCCTTTCCAGCTGGCTATCCCCTTTTTACTTTTTTTTTTTTTTTTTTTTTTTTTTTTTTTTTATCAGAGTAACTTATTGAATTTTAATTTTTTTTTTAAAGACTGCATTATTTATTTTTTATATTAAAAAATAAACTTTATGTAAAAAAATCTAGCGAATCCCAAATCGACCAAGCCACGAAGCACGAACCCGTACCCGTACCACGTACTGAAGCGAACCACGAATCTGGTAACACTGTTCTCAATTCTTGTCTTTTTGATCCATGGTATATGCTGAGCTTAGAGCATTTTGTATCTTAAGTTATATGAGTTTAGTAGAGATTCTTTCAAGGGATGGCTACCTGCTTTTTGTTGTGCCTGTTGTGTTATGATTGTGAGGATCTTCAATTTCTGCTAGCAGTATTGTTGCATTGTGATCTAGGATGAAGGAACCATGTGCATTTGTGCCTTTGTGATAAATTTGTTGACATTTTGTTGTTCCTGTCATTCAGGCCGTTATTGAAGCTGGTCTTGTGCAACCTCTAGTGCAATTGCTCCAGAATGCGGAATTTGACATTAAAAAGGAGGCTGCATGGGCAATCTCAAATGCCACATCTGGGGGATCTCCTGATCAGATACGGTATGCCATATATTATCCGTGCTTTCTGGTAGCTTTTTTGTGTTTATATTTATAGAGCCATAGAGGGTTCTGCACTGTTCTTTGTTAAATTAAGACATCATGAATTATGATGAATGTTATGGAAGGGTGGGCTGGACTAAACTTTGCCTCTCCAGTAATATGCCTGGACTAAGGATTTTTCTCCCTGGTATTTTTAATGCCCTATTTTTAACACTTTTGGTTATGAATGGATGGCACTTAGCTCGGTAGCTGTATCCCTTGTTGCCTACTCTGCATGGAATGCTGGGGTTAACATCCTTACTGGTAGCGAGTTTCCTGCTTTCTTCTATTATCTATTATGAGGTAAAAGTGTAAAACCGTAAATGCTATTTTTCCCAATTTTTACAGGGGGGTGTTAAATTCCGCCAACAATTTTTATCAAAACCGCCCACTTTTAAGGTGAATGGACACCAATGCCCTTACTATACCCCCACCCATCTTCTTTCTCTTTTATTTTTTTCTCTCTTCACCCATAACTCCATAAGGGCCACAACCATCACATCCCAACCACTATCAACCACAACAGTGGCTGTACGTCGGAGATGAAGGGAAGCGGCAGCCGTACGTCAGAGGTGGAAGGGTAGCGACGGCGACGACCGGATGTGATGAACTAGCAAGTGCAAAAATTAATGTATTCAGTTGAAAACAATTGACGTAGCAACTAGCAATATAGTGCAAAAATTTAAACAACATTATCCTAAATATTTAAACAACTGTATTCATCCGTACGTCAGAGGTGGAAGGGCAGCGACAACGAGGACCACCGGCATGCGAAACCGATTACACACCACGGTGAAAAACCGGTCACCCTAGACGGTAACCGGTTTTAGACTTCGGTTACCATGGTCAACCGGCGATGGAAACCGCTTACCATCCCGAGTGACCGGTTTTGCGCGCCAATTGTGCTAGTCTTCGGAAGTATAAAAAAACCACCACCCTCCTGCCGACGAGGGAAGGTGGTGGGTTGTTGTTTTTCCATGATTGTTGACTGCTGTGGTGGTTCCGGCATCACAAACACAAATCTGGTACATCTTGGTGGTTGTGGGCGGTGTTGCTTTTGTGGTGGTTGAGGCTTGATGGACTTAGGAGAGAGAAAGCAAAATGGGGATGAGTAAGGGTAATTTTGTCCCTTAATCACTTTTGTTGGCGGTTTGATAAAAAACGTTGGTGGGCAATCCACTTTTTATAACCTTGAGGTTTTTTTCTTTGTTCTTTTTGGGAATACTAGTTGGGGAAGATACGATTGGAAGTATAGAAAAGACTTTTAGGCATGTAAGACAATTTTGTTTCTTATGCTTAGTATGTGAACAAGGAAGCAACAGGGAATATTCTTCTGTTGTCATCTTCTGATCTCGTGATAGAGTTTAGTTATTTTCTATTGGAACTTGGCTAATTTGGTATTAAACTGCTGGGTTATGGTTGCTTTGGTGGTCATAGCATGAGATTGAGAAGTATACAAAAGTTACAACTGTAGAGAGACAATGTGAGTTTTACTAGAAGGTACTGAGCTATTGAGCTAACTCTATGTTTGAGAGCTTCGATTTTATAAGGATCAAACTACAATACTAATGCAAGCAACCATATTCTGGGAATTTAAAAGCACTAGTAACCAAATTCAAGTTCAAGGAAAAAACTAATTCATGAACAGGCGGTCATCACACCCGCACATCAGCTCAAAAAGCATAGGACTCAAGTGGTATCGTTGCTACATTCAGTCCCTATTATCTGCTCCATTTCGTAAACAATACTCTTGAATTTTTCATTTCCATGATGGAATTTTGGAAGTTTTTTGGTACCTCATTATCTTCTTTGTCAGCTAGCTTGGTTGAAGAGAATTCTTATTTATATGTTAAATTGTTACTGAATGCTTAATTGAATCGAAGTCCTTTAGTAATTATCAATTAATCACCCAACAGCCCCAAATTGTCATTCTTAAACACAAAAGACCTAGGAGAACAAACACTAAACTTGCAGGAGCAGTGGAGCACACATTATAAGGGAGGAAAACCACTCACATTGAACACTGATAATATTGATATTTCTCTTTCCAGAATATTTGTTCATACATCAGTATCAAGTGCTAGTTGTACAGTTAGAATTCCTACTATTTCTCAGAGAAGTTTAATGGAAGACTTTGTCTAATGGTAGAGCTGCAGAGGTGTGGCTTCTACTAGCAATAGTCCCTGGACCCTGGAACATTGCCATTACTTGGCAAGATTTTTATTTATTTATTTTTCTTTTTTTGACCAGCAAATAATGTTCTCTTGGAACTGGTTTTGGTTCTGTTAGTCTAGATACAAATAAGATGGGCACTTGGAACACGTTATTTGGGTTATACTGTATGTTATTGAGTAAATTATATTTGGAGAAATGAAGATAAAAGAAGAAAATTACCATAGCAGTTAATTGACTAACAATGGCTTCTTTTTTTTTTTTTTTTTTTTTTATGTGTGTGTGTGTGTGGGGGGGGGGGGGGGGAGAACGTGGAGCAGTGGAGTATCCACTACTTGAAAGCTGTCTAGGCTGATATATACATCCTTAAATTCTTTTGTCCAAATTTTATCTTACACAGATCATATGTACCGTGGGCATACTAAATCAAGTGATGTCTTGCTGTGCAAGCCTTTAAATATGCTATACATATCAATTATGATAAATGGTTTATCTTAGCGGCTTAGCCTATGAAAGTTGCTTGATGTTTCTAGGTGGGAATGAAATTTGTCTGTGTGACAGTTGTGGCAGATTATCTGTTATCACAGTGAATACATGCTGTTGATGTCAAGAATTTTTCATAACTAAGTTTTATGTATTTACTTTTTTTTTCTTTCTAAATTCGTGATTTGTTTGTTAACTCTGATCATCATTGCTGATTCTAGGTTCTACTTTTTGTGTTTCAACTTTTGTGTATGTAAAAGCATTTTACCCACTTACAGGATAATGATTTCCACACTGTTGAACCTGCTAAATCTATAGGTCATGGACTCATGGTAGCCTTGGTTAGTTTGCGACAGTAAATAGAGCTCTTCATGTGCAAACGTATGTTGTGGGACTGAATAGCATGTGCTGCTTGACTCTATCTCAGATCTAATTAGATGCAATCCAAAACCCGTCATGTGGATAAATATGCTATAGAATTGAATATCTAGCATGTGCTGTTTCATGGGCGGACCTACATGCCCCAGCATCCTCATTGATTAGAATTTTGGCTAGCTTTAAGCCTTTGTATTTTTTGAAGGGAAAATATAAATTGTCTTCATGCATGCTCTCACTAAATCATACTTCCTTTCTTTTTAGTTGACACATTTGACTTTGATCACTATTCACACTAGTTGCTTTGACTTCTTTATGTGATCTATAAATAAAAAAAATAAAAAAAAAATAAAAAAAAAATAAAAAAAAAAAAAAGGCTATGCTAGGTCTTGTTAGATTTATCTTGACATCTATTTTCCAAATATCTAATTTTTATAATCCTAGCTTATAGGCGATTGAAGATATATATATTTGAAACTATGCATTGGCAAACATGTCTTAAGGAAATGTGTCAACTAAAATAAAATGAGCAAGTACAAAGGAAATGTGTCAACTAAAATAAACTGAGCAAGTACAATATAATTCTAAGATTTAGAGTAAAATTGTCAAATTGATGCTAATTTGCATCTCTGTTTTATAACTTTGAGCTTGACTGTCTTAGATCTTTGTATTATATACTTATTCGATTTTTAAGTCATCTATTATGGTATAGAGTTACATTATCCTCTGAATTTTGTTGTGTTCCTGCAGATTTTTGGTCACTCAAGGTTGTATCAAACCACTTTGTGATCTTCTTATATGCCCTGATCCTCGAATTGTCACGGTTTGCCTTGAGGGGCTAGAGAACATACTCAAGGTAGGAGAAGCTGACAAAGAAATGGGAATGAATGGCGGAGTAAATATCTATGCTCAAATGATTGATGAATGTGAAGGATTGGACAAGATTGAGAACTTGCAGACTCATGATAATAACGACATATATGAGAAGGCAGTGAAAGTCTTGGAAAAATACTGGGCTGAGGAAGAAGAGGAACAGAATGTTCAAGATGGTGCAGTTATGAATCAGCAGGGCTTCAACTTTGGTGCTACCCAACCCAATATTCCAGCTGGCGGTTTCAAGTTTGTTTGAAGTGGAGCTCTTGGTGGTTGTAGTCTCTGTGTCTGTTAGGCCTCTTCCCTGCACCCCAACCCCCCGGACCGAATTTTGGAAGCTGTCTTTGCTATTTTAGCCCCCCTTGGAGCCAGTGTTTTGGTCTTGCTCTTAGGGCTCATTGTTTTATTATGAACTATGGGTCTATTTTGTATTGTTTCTGCCTCTCACAGGAAAATTTATGTTATACTTGGAATTTGTATTTAGTTGCACAAGTGTAGTCAAAAGTTTCTTGCCGTTGGCACCTTGAATTCATTAAAAAATATAAGTTTCAGGTTGGTCATCGGGCTGAGTAAGGAGAATGTTCTTGCTGTTTTGCTTATGCATAATTACTACTATATGGGTGTATTGTTCCCTTTATTTTTATAATCTTTTGGTATTAGTAAAGCTGTAAAGATTGAACTCCATGTCTAGTTATTTTTTTTCAACTTGTACTAATATTGTGTTGCAAGAAAAAATCATTTTGCACTGAAAGGTCATCACGGTTTACCGAAACTCAACGAATAAATTGAAGCTAAACGATGCAATGCATACCAGCACTTTATGGATTTGTAAAATGTGAAATTGATTTTAAAGTCTAATCTATTGCTTTTAACCATGATTAGTTAAAATGACCATGTGTTTAGCATCCGACAAGGTGGATTAATTCCTCTGACCTTGTGTTTTACTTAAGGTACCAATATATGTGCTTTGTTGTGCCTTGAGTCTTATGATGAAGAAAGGATTACCATGCAAGTATATTGACAAATATAAATACAAAGGTCATGCATTATTGTGAAAGAGACATGCTAGGACTTGTGGAGAAGTAACACGAGAGTTTTCTATCACAATTAGTTTACTCCGAAGATTTTTTTTCACTCCTTCCTTTCCTCTTCGCACCAGTTTTGGACAAGTAAGAAAGGCTATCCAAGATGAGATACCGTGGTGTTTGTTGTTTGTGGATAATGTCGTAGTGTTGGTTGAGATTAGGGCAAAGGGTTAATGCTAAGTTGGAGTGATTTTTGGGACAAAAGTTAGAATCATGAGGATTGAGGGTAGGTGTAAAACTAAGTGTATGGAGAGCAAAGTGAGTATGTTGTGACTTGTGACATTAGATGGTATGAAGCCATGTTAGTATTGGAAGGAGGCACAACTTCACAATATTGTATATGAAGTATGTGTGCTGTAAACTATGTCTAAGTTATATTTTGTTGGAAAAGCACGACACATTACGAGTCACGTTTTATTACTTGAAATTTGACTTTAGCACATTACCTCAAACTATATTAAGACCTCCCTTTATAAACTTCCGGCACAAACACTGTATACGGCTAGTGCCTAGTAGGTCATACCATGGTTAGGTGGTTCTAATATTTTAACCAATTTTAGGCGTACAAGCTCGACATGGTCCAATACCTATAGGCACTAATGCACTATACATTCTCATTTTTCTGTTCTTGTTATTTCTAACAGACTTTACAATTCTGGGCTTAGCATTTTAGCAACCCATTACCCCATACCATCTAATTCACCATTTCTTCTCCATCAATGGCCGCCATTGCAGAGCTCAACACAAAGGAGAGAGAAACAAAGAGAACAACTCCATCAATGTCCAAAACCAAAGAAGAAGAAGAAGAGAAACAAGGAGTCCTACTATACTACAAGTACACCTCTTCTCCCATCGAAAACCTAAACCAACTCTTCACCTTCTACGAGTCAAACTGTTTCTCACTCGGTCTACTCGGCCGAGTTCGACTCGCTCCTCAAGGCGTCAATGTCACAATCGGCGGTAAACTCTCTCTCCTCCATAACCACATCGCCGCACTCCTCGACAGTTATGGCGGTTTCTTCGAAGGTACCGACTTCAAGCTCGCCTCCTGCGATGAACCCTTGAGTATGGAGGTTGCGAAAGAGTGCGGTTTCACTTCTCTTTCTATTCGAATTGTTAAGGAATTGGTTACTCTTTCGTCGAATCCTTTGATTAAGACTCCTTCGATTTCGAATGCTGGGCGGCATCTTTCTGCGCTTGAATTTCACTCAGTTCTTCAAAATTCTGGTATATATTTTCGTATCTCTTTTGATTGTTTGTGAATTGAAGGAATTTTTGGCTCTTTTGATTGATAATGTGTAAAATTGTTCATATTTTTGGTTTTAAAGTGTATATTGATCGCATTTCCAGGTTACTTATGTTTTAAATGATATATGGTTATTGGTGAGTATAGAATAATACTTTCTAAGTTTCAATTTAATCAGCCACATTTGATCATTTACGGAATTTGCTCGAAATTCTATAATTATCTATGATAACTTATACTGACTATTGTTGAGAACAAATGTTTAACTACCATACTACAAATTATTCCCAAAAGAAAGTAGTCGCAATGTAGGAATGTGGCTTATATAAGTGGGATGGAGTAGTCTTTATGCTGTGAATTGTTTTGTCATTTTTGTTGGAGGTATATTGGCAATTGTTGGTACTTAATTGGCAATATGAAATTTGTTGTGTTTGGAAGGAGAACTTTTGAAAGAGGAGTCGCCAATCGACTTTAAAAAGCTTGTTTTACTGGATGCAAGGAACTTGTATGAGACAAGAATTGGGAAGTTTGAATCTCCTGAAGTTGAGACTTTGGATCCTGTTACAAGGCAGTATAGTGATTTGCCTGCCTGGATAGACAGTAATGCTGATAAGCTGCGTGGCAATTGCGTCCTCATGTAAGTTTGAAGGCATTATTTTTACTAAGTTCTTTCTGGGGGTAGGGGGGTTAGTTAGTAATGTAGAACAATGTTTCTATAAATCAAGAAGGCTATGTAACCATGTTGGAAAGTTCGGGTTTCCAAAGTATAGAAGTCCTTTTTGTCTCCAAACTCTCCTTTTACCTGGTGAATAATGTCCTCATTAGTCTGCAATGACCCAATTATCTTAAATATTCCTTTAGGCCTTGTCAATTGAATCTTCTTCCACATAAAACATTTTCAAGATTGAGGTTTCTTCTTCTGAGTTCATTCCCCATATTTGTTAATTTTCTGTTGAGCCAAAAGATCACCCTTTCTTGGTGTTGGGTCTCAATGGATTAAATCAATATTCAACAATAGATATTAACGTTATTGCATTTTAGATCAAGGCTACCGTGGGCACCTTTCTGTTCTTTCTAGGATTAGGGTTAGTAGTGTTAGGCAGTTTTTGAGACATTAGGTAAGATTGATGCTGAAGCTTGTGCGTTGTAGAACTTATCCTGTTGAAGGTATTATACTAAATAAATTTCATCCCAAGAAAAATGGGAAAACTGCCTTAGCTGTTATGCAAATATTTTAAATCATCACCTGTAGCTACAACTCCATCAATCTAAAGACTACTTCCTCTTCAGTGTCTTTGGAAAATATAGTGAATATTAAGGCCCTTTTGGTTGTCCCTCCAGGACTCCACTTAATGGGCCATAGATTCATCAAACAAACAAATCAAACTTTTGAAGGTTGATCTTCAGTCCTCTCATTACACAGCTTCCCTGTAGAGCTTAATATTCACTATATTCCTTGTAGAGCATCAAGTCTCAGGACTTTAGTATCAGTATCCTGCTTTCTAAATTCCACCAAAGACTTGATGCTCTGTAGAGCTGTTAAAAAATAGAACTTCTGCTTTAATCCTGTGATGATGCTGATGCTCTTCAAAATTTCAAGTCACTGACAAATGATACAGTTAACTTAAACACAGTATCTCTTTAATTTGGTTATGTTACTTGCCTCCATGTCAAGAAAATTTGGGCTCATCTTTTTATCTATGAAGAGCTGTTACTTGAACTGAAGTAAAGTTTTATTATAAGAAAGATCTGCTGCTAGGTTCTTGCTCTCATGTTACATCTAGAGTCTTGTTTGATATTTTTTTTAGATTTTTTTTTTGTTTGTGAAATTATGTTCCCATCTCTGTTTTGACCTTACTTCAATTTGTTGATTTATGCTGCAGGTATTGTACAGGAGGAATAAGGTGTGAGATGGCATCTGCTTACATAAGATCGAAAGGTGCTGGCTTTGAGAATGTATTTCAGGTTGGCATATGTATCTATGTTTGTTTCATTAGCTAGTGTTTGTTGTCTTGTTATTGTTGCCTTCTTGTTAATTTGTTGTGCATACTGTGTCTAAGAGACTTTTCATGACCCAATGTAGTTTAACTGCAGTTGTATGGCGGAATACAGCGTTACCTAGAACAATTTCCAGATGGTGGATTTTTTAAAGGAAAAAACTTTGTCTATGACCCCCGGTAAGCCTATTCTTGGTCTGAGCCTTCTTCAATATCTATTATGTTTAGCCTTTAGATTCACCAGTTCCACGATCTTAGAATCAGCTGCTGAGTAAGTGAATATCTAGAATACATTATTTTTCTGCACTCTTGTTAAATTTGTTTCTTGTCTAATTTTGTTAAAATGATGTACACAACAATTTGGTTAGGCGCTCATCTTGCTGGTTATTGGGGGCAGTTGCTTTAATCGGGATATAAGATAATATTCAACTGAAATTGGGATGTCTTGGACTGTTCTAATATGCATGCAGCATGCCTGTCTTAAATAAGAGTTTCGTTAGAAATTCTGATTAATTATTGTTTAATCATAATGCAATTATACTATTTGGCTGATGCCGTTTATGCTTGTGGTAGGATTTCAGTTGGGAGTTCAAGTAAATGTATCATGGGTAAATGCCTCCTTTGTGGGACCTCTTTTGATGATTACTCCTCACGCTGTCGTTGTGCATTTTGTCGGATGCTTGTATTGGTCTGCATTGGTTGTCAGGTAAGGATAATGAATAATAACAGTTTTACTCAACAAATTCAAACATCCTTTTACAGTGTTACCCATCTGATAGACTGATACCCATTTTAAGAATGAGCTTTGGTTGAAGGATGGCTTATATGGTGGAGATTATAAAGTCACCATGGATTTTTATTGGGTAGGGTTTATAGTCCCCACACTACACTTGATATAGAGCAGTCCTTAGGGGAAATTTGTTATGCTTTGAGGCTAGAATGATTTTTAATTGCATATTGGGTGATTTTGAACAAGTTTCAATAATGCGGATGATTGGAGGGAAATATGTTATGCTTAGAGATTTATAATGATATTTTTAACATTTGCTAGAAGTAAAATTCTAACTTTTCCTTTGTAGATCTCGATCCTTGAGGACCAATTAATGCCTGAAAAGAAGTCGAAGGGAAAGCATGTCACTTGTTTAGAAATGGTCTTGGGTACCTTGTCTTGAAGGCATTATGATCAAGTGGTCCTATGATCTCTAGAGTCCCTAAGCTGTGGATGAGATATATTCTTGTAGTGAATGCTGGGAAGAACTATATCATTTGAATTTTAGCTCACTGCCCTTGAATCCTTGATGCTCAACAAACCTCCATTATCTCTCTTGTATACAACAGGCTTAATCACCTCAAATCATTAAAGCTACCTTTATGCAAAGTTATCCTTAATGTGTGATTAAGGTTTATAAGTCTATTGTATACAACACTCCCACTTCATACAAGCGTTTTCTTTGACTTTCTAAAATGTGCTAAACTTGAGCTTTTGCCTGGTAAATCTTGACATTGATTGCGAATAATCATCATATTCACATACTTTTTCATACATCATTCAAGTCATCAGTTTCTAGAACTATGATGGTCTACAATTGTTTAATTATTGTACTCCATATAAAGCTTCACTTCTTGTTTCTACAGAAGGAGAATTCCCAATATGCTTGTGAATTGTGTCAGAAACATGGAAAAGTTGCCCAGTCTGTTCCTCTAGTTAATGATAATAGTCCTGAAGTAATTCTGGCATGCGATGTTGGAACGGCTCCCACTGATTGCCCAACTCCTCTTAGCGCAAGCCACTCTCAATTACCCTGCATGCCTGGTAAGGTTTCATCTTCGGACTTTTTTATTGACTTACACACCACAATTGTAGTAATTGATTCTTTCCATGGTCAATATGAGGTCACTTGAACACCTTGCTGTGTTGATTCTCTGGAAGTCTGGATCAAAGTTGTTTCATTATGATTTGATCATTATTCTTTTATTTAGAAAGTAAATGCTACAACTGCCACTAAACTCTGTTGTGGTTTTCCATCTGATGAAGTATAGGGTCTTCGAAGAAACTCCGGATATTGTGTCTTCATGGATTTCGTCAGAATGCGTCTAGTTTCAAAGGAAGAACTGCCTCGTTGGCAAAAAAACTGAAAAGCTTGGCAGAGTTTGTTTTTGTGAATGCTCCCCATGAATTACCATTTATATACCAACCTCGTAAACCAGATAAGCAGTGCATATCAAGTCCTCCTCATCATGACTATTCCCCACCTACTAAAAATTGCAGCAAGAAATATGCATGGTTGGTAGCTCCTGATTTCAATAAGAAGGAAGCAACTCATTGGGAAAGGATTGATAAGCCTTTTGATCCACTTCAGTATCAGCAGCAGACTGAGGGATTTACCGAGTCATTATTGTATCTGAAATCTGTTGTTTCTAAGGATGGGCCCTTTGACGGCATTTTGGGTTTTTCACAGGGAGCTGCTATGGTGGCTCTTATATGTGCTGAGAGAGGAAGACTAGACCTTGAATTAGGTTTCAGATTTGTAATATTATGTTCTGGATTTGCTGTTAATCTAGCAGGACATGAAAAAGGATCCATTACTCTCCCTACGCTTCATGTTTTTGGAAGTGAGGATGGAGGTGATCGGCAAATATCATCTGGTTTTAGCCGAGATCTATCATCATATTTTGAAGATGGATGCAGAGTGATTATCGAGCACGATTCTGGTCATATAATTCCTACAAGACCTCCTTATATTGATGAGGTCAAAGAGTTTCTTAGGCGATTTATGTAACATTAATACATTTTAACTTAACGGATATGGCAATATGTAATTGTATGCAAAATTGCAAACAACTTGTTACCCTTGTGCTTTCCAGCTTGATCTTATCATCTTATGTACTGTAATTTACTTGGCCCTCGAATATCAAGTAGTTTCTGATAGTCTGAAGTTAAGAGTGTGAAGTTAAATCCTTTGCAATAAGTCTTGTCTAAGGCGGGTGTACGTTAATTTTATTATAAGACGGTCAGTTTGAGGGTAATTTTAACTATTTTTATGCTAACTTTAATCCCTTAAAGGATAACTTTTAATTTGTCGTTGGTTTGAATTTTATTTTAATGTGTAATCTTATACATTTATGAATACATACTATAAAAGGTAATATGATTAATCTAATACATTATAAGTTTTTTTAAAGATAAATTTATTATTCGAAAAATAATAACTTTTGTAGTATAAATGATAACTTTAAATACTTTTAATATAACTTTAACCCGTCTTACAATAAATTAACGTACATCCGCCTTTTTAAGAAATTTGTGAATCCTTTGACATAGTTTAAACTCCCAAGTACAGTTTGAAGCACATTGTAAAGAAAAAATGATTCAAAGTAGAATGGAAATCTTGTCTGAAATTAATTTTCACATAATCCCATCCTTGTTTGATTAAATTTTTTTATCTTCATGTTTTCATTGACATTCTCTTAATTAGAGTAGTGTTCTTAGACCCACCCATTATCTTCACCTATACTAAACTCGAATTAGTTTACTGATTAAATTGACTTTATATTTTTATTGATTAAAAATTATTTTAACAATTGAAAATGAAGTGCTCTCCCCTTCCATTTCATCACTGTATGAGGATGCAATACATATGCAAATTAAACTATTTATCTAATTTATTTTAGATTATATGACGGATTTTTTTTTGAGTTCCGCAAACATACTACCTTTGTTTTAAATAATTTGCAACAATATGACATATATGTGAGTAAAAAATGTTTAATCGCTGCAAATAATTTGAAACAAAGGTAGTAAAATAAAATCCCTATTTATATATATACATATTTTGATATGTCAAACGATGAAACGAGTGTTAAATTAAGTAGCGGAGTACTAGTTTGATTAATTTATCCGATTAAAGAAGGGATGCTTTCATGCTTTGTGATTTGTCCACGTCCAATTTTCCAAAGAAACATATAAGTATATAACACATTACACACCACCTAGGCAGTAGGCACATATGATGATATGAACTCTCATCTATTGTTTCCTTTCCCCTCTCACCCATAATCCCTTATTTACCCATACCAAAAAAAAAAAAAAAAAAAAAAAAGAATCATCTTTAAACCCTAAATTAAAGGGTTTTAGAAAATTTGTCTTTCTGAAGTGTTATTACGAGGTTTCTTCAACCAAAATCCAGCAATCCCCCAATTTAGGGATCACCATTTCCATAAATGATGCAGTCCCTCACCAGAAGATTGTTGCACAGAAATTTTTACAGTAAAGTATGTTTCTTGCGCTTCAACCCTTCTATCATTTCAGATTCTGCTTATTTTTCCTTCAGTGTTGAATATAATTTTGTTTTTGTTTTCAATTGATGTCAAATTAATGTTTTCTATTATTAATATTTGTTCATTGCTATAATTCTGAAGCTCCAATCTTTCTGGGTTTATATAAACTAGTCAATCCTTTTTATATTGATTTGATTTTACTATATCCTGCAGTTAAATTGTGTACTCAATATTTGTTTTCTACTGCTGTTCAATCATTTTCAATTATTTTTGTGATTGTTTCCATCGTTTAATTCAGTTTTTTGGAGTGCAGGAATCAGTTTCTATTGTGTAACATAATGTCTTATGTAAATGTAATCATCACTTTGTCTTTCTATCTGGATTATTAGAGTTCAGCTTAACACAATTGCAAATCAGTAATAGAAATCGGATTTCGACCTCTAGGATTGGACTGATTTTTTGTGGATAAAATACGAACTTGTTAATCTAGAAATTGTTTATGATTTACGAAGTAATAATTACAGAAATGAGCCAATGGCAGTTTCTGCATTTAGATTCTGAGTGTTTGATTTGGAAAAATGCTTATTTTTCATAGGAGAAGTTGGTTATTATATACACATCCCGATTCTCAAAGTAATAAGTCAGTGATCCTTCTATGTCAAATATGTTGTTGACTTGTTGAGTGTTGGATTTTTTGGTTTTCTAGGCAAATGGATACCGGACATACTGTTCAACAAAGATCTTTGATGCGGGTCAGCCAACCGCAGCTTCTCATCCTGAGGTATTGCTGGATCGATCATTTCATTTTGCTTTTGTTGATTCTCAATTTGTCCTGTTTGAGGAGGAAAAGCAATTAATTTTCTTCATATTGTTGTAGCTGCTGAAAGAAGGGGAGATGACTCCTAGTATAAGTTGTGATGAATATATCTCCAGACGAAAGAAATTGTTAGAGCTTCTCCCTGAGAAGAGTATTGCCATCATTGCAGCTGCCCCGGTGAAGATGATGACAGATGTTGTGCCTTACCCATATCGGCAAGATGCTGACTATCTGTATATCACTGGCTGTCAGCAACCTGGTGGCATAGCTGTTTTAGGTCATGATATTGGTTTGTGTATGTTCATGCCAGAACCAACACTTCATGTATGTACAACAGAATCCAACATGTAATCTAGTAATATCTGCAATCATAATCAAAGGAATTGGGAGTAAAGGTTCTAAAAGTGACAGCGTAGTCATGATGCTGTTATGTATTTCCGATACCTTGACTTCGTTACCTCGTGAAAATATTTTCTGTTTGATCCTAGGATGTCACTTGGGAAGGGAATACCGCTGGCGTAAATGAGGCACTGGAGATATTCAAGGCTGATCAGGCAAAACCCATTAGCGAACTTCGACAGGTATTTTTTTCTGTGGCATTTAAATAAATTCTCGCCGTGCTGCTCATGTCCATTAGCAGAAAACTGGATCTAAATTTCCTCTTCCCTCCAAATTCAATTTGTGGGTGCTGTATTAGGAGACATTAAAGGGGGACACTGGGATGGATTGCTGTTTGTTTGACATGTTACTTATTGGATTACACTAGTGAGAAGCTAGAGGTACATACTTCAAAGGCAAAATACATGTAGCATAAGAGAAGTTTCTAAATTGGTTCCTTATAGCTGTAATTTTCATAATAAATCCTTCATCCATTGACCCACTTACGCATGCAGATGCTATCAGGATTTTTAGGAAGATATTCTGAAGTGTTTCATAATGTGAAAACTGCTACAAGAACTTACACAGACTCTGAGTCCTTTCAAAAGACAATTGTTGAAGGCAAAGTGAAAGATCTTTCTAAATACACTCATGAGTTGCGTTGGCTCAAATCACCAGCTGAAGTTGAGTTGATGAGAAAGGCTGCTTCAATTGCTTGTCAGGTAATCTCTCTTTCACTTGAAGTTTTCTGTACAAAAGAAAGATCTTTTGTAGAATTGGTGCTACTGCTGGGATGGTGATGCTGCTGCCTATGAGCCTGTGAAACTACATGGTTTCCATTTGGCTTTGCTACCTTGTCTTCTCTAGATGTATGGCATGCTCTGCTTTTTCCTCAAATTCTGGATTATCAGGATTGCTTGTATCTTCTGAGAAGCTGAAAAGTTCTTAATGAGGCTAAGATTCTTTAATTCATGGCATATTGATGTCTATCTCTCCCACTGTGTTTCTTCTTTTGCATTTTTAGCAACCAATCAAACTGTTGAGACAGTATTTCAAAAATCAGTATCTATCTCATAGTTGTCTTTCACAATATGCTTCCGCCTTCTATGATTGATTAGTTTCAACATCATTTGGTGGTAATTGATGTGAATATCTTTGCTAATTGTCCGAAATCAATGCCATTTTTGTTTGATTCATAGGCTCAGTTGCAGACCGTGTTTCATTCAAAGATATATCCACATGAAGGTATGTTGGCTGCGAAGGTGGAATATGAATGCAAAATGAGAGGTGCCCAAAGAATGGCGTAAGCTTTTCCTCCCTTTTGAACATTCTCAGGCATAAGACGGTTGTGACTCTCGTATAATCATGTTTTCACATGAAATGTTCTGATATCATTTCCCCTTCCCCCTGTAGAGAAGGGAAAAAAAAACCTGTAGAAAGAAATATGTATATTTTATTATTATTATTTTATTATGAACCTTATGCATCAGTCATTTCAGTTATGATTTTTAGCATAATCAATTTACCTTTATCAAGGAAGATGGCAATAGCCATAATTTCGGTTGACTTCTTGGTTTTTAAAAATGTGTCTACTTGTCTAGTAATTGGGATGATACCAAAGTTTTATATTGTTTGATAGATTCTCCTGGTGTAGTAGCCATTACCTTGCAATTTTTGCTATTAAATGTACATACTACATAGTATAAAAGATCTTGTAGGCCGATGTGCCGAATTTCTCCATACTAATATGCTGAATTTTGGCCCTCAGCTATGCACTGAAGATCATTGAAATTATGGAGTGATTTCTGTTTTGTTTACTGTTACTAGATTCAACCCTGTTGTGGGTGGTGGTCCTAATGGCAGTGTGGTACATTATTCTCGAAATGATCGTAAAGTGAGTTCATCTTGTTACTTATCCTTTTAAAAATTAAGCAAATTTTGCACCCTATGAAGCAATGTCTATTTTTTGCAGGTTAATGATGGGGAACTTGTACTTATGGATATTGGATGTGAGTTTCACGGCTATGTTAGTGATATGACTCGCACATGGCCTCCCTTTGGTAGATTTTCACCTGCTCAAGTATGTAGTCAATTTCATCTTAATGTCTTGGGAGCTTTGGTTTGAAAGTTTTCTCCATCTCATGTATAAATAAATATTTACCAGTCTGTCTTATGGATGCTTAACCCTATCTTGTTGAGACTAGTTGTTAGGCATAAAATTTTGCGAAGTGAGGAGGCTTTAAGACTAGTTTAAAGCAGCATTGTAGTGATTGACTCTACTTATGTTTGGGTCCTCCAAGACTTCTATTCTAAGATATTTTATGCAGTTTTTCTTTCTAAATCTTATTAGTTGTATCCTTCTTTTTTCGTTTCTTATCTGCCTTATAATTGATTCACCAAGATGCCATGGTATACCATTAGTTTAGCCTTTTAATTTTACTTCTGTAAGTCTCCAATGCTTTTATATTCTGGAAATATCATCTCAAGTGTATTGCTGTAATCTCAGATGATGACATTTTTCGCATAATTACAGGTTGAGCTTTATGAGCTTATTTTGGAGACGAATAAAGAATGTATAAAGCTCTGCAAACCTGGCATAAGCATACGACAAATACATGAGCAATCGGTATGATGCTCTGTGGTGTTTATTTTCTATTTGCCTGTTTTTTCAGGCTTAAAATTTGTGTGTTTGCTAATCTTGGTACTCTTAGCTATGGTCGTCAGATATATGATATACTCACAAGCAGATACAAAACCCAAATCATCTCTTTCTTTTTGGGGAGGGAGCATGAGTATTTATGTTATTCAATCTGAAATTTTTTATACTAAACAACTGTATTTTATTTGGTAATTACCCTATATTCGGCAATTGATCAACTTCTTTGACCTAATGTAGCTTCATCTTTATTGTCAAGTCACAAGCTAGTAGAACATCTGAAGAATATATGTCAATGGTGTGGTTACCCTGCTTTATCTCATGCTACCTTGTGATGGTGCTTCGAGATAAGTTAGACAGCTATAGTTGATTGACTAAAATCTCATAATTCCATGTACATTCGCATCATCACATGGTTAATATCTTAGTCTCTTATTGTCAAATAAGTGTCTCAGTTTCTATCTTGGAGTTTGTAAATTTTCTACCTTTTCTGTAATAGAGTGCTCTACTTAAAGTTTGTCTTGTTAATGTTTCTGGTAGGCTGCTTTTTCAAATCTACCACAATAAAGTGTGATACATTTTCAAGAAAAAGGAGTAGGATATACACATTTGCATTAGTACTTTCATGCTATCTGATTTTAAAAGTATTATGATTAGGTATTTGTTATGCAAATGCAGAGGACATTCTGTACCAATATATTAACAAGCAGTTACTTATCTCTTTGATCTCTTCCCAATATGAAATTATTAAGAGTCCCATCTGTTGACTTGGTAATGACACTTTTTGATAAATGTTGACTAACTCTGTGCTCTGTATGATTGCAGGTTCAGAAACTCTACAAAGGACTGAAAGATATCGGAGTACTGAAAAATAGAGCGAGCAGTAGCCGAACATACCATCAGCTCAATCCAACTAATATAGGTATCTCTGGCTACTCTTATTAGACATAGTGGATTGTGACTTATGACAAATTAGATCTTGTACTGGTAAGTGTAAACATATGTTCCACATATGAACCTTCTGACTTCTTAACACTTGCTTCTGATCTGTGTAGGACACTATCTAGGGATGGATGTACATGATTGTTCTACAATCAGCACTGATCGTCCTCTTCAGCCAGGGGCTGTAAGTTGTAGACAATTTTTTAACCTTGATTTTTTATCTTTGTTTTTCTTTCCCCTCAGCACATCGTTAACAAGAAAGCAGCCCTGTAATTTTTCCTAGGCTGTGTTTTATGGTACATTTAGTCCCTTGTTTTGTGACATGAGATGGGGCTTGGTCTGTTGAATGGAATGCTCTGGAGATGTCTTGTGTTTGTTTGCAAAAATTCATATATTTGCTTTTCTCTCCAGATCATAACGATTGAGCCAGGTGTATATATTCCATCTTCCTTCAGTGTTCCAGCGAGGTATTTCCCTCGATTACTTATTATCTAACAACTTAAACTTTCTTATTCCATATTATTTGTCACATTAAAATAGCAATGCAATCTTAATTGTCACTTTAAAAATAAAAAACCAATGAAGTATGACTAGTTAGTTAACTAACGTATGTGTCCATCTGTGTGCACGACCATATGTCACATGTAAAGGTATGGATGGAGTATTTTAGGTTGCATCTATATATGTCTTGATTTTGTTACTCATATGATTAAATGTTGTTAGCAGATGAGGCAGTCAATAAATTAGTTGTTGCAATGCCGTTTAGAATTACTGTAATTTTTATTCATTAAGGTCTGAAGTAAGGAAAAGCTGTGGAATGCAGAGGTCTGTTTGTAGTTGCCATGACTTAGGTTATTCTTAAGCTTTAAAATGAGATCCATATCTATTGCTGATGTATATATGATCTGTTGCGGCCCTGGTTCTACTATAAATGTGGAGCTGCTGGTTATTTGGGCAGGATGTTAGTGTTTATGTAATTTCCTCAATTAAGCAGTGTATATGGGTGAGAGGATTAACTATTAAGTGGGAAGGGATGGAAGAATTATATAATATTTCATTCATTTGATATGGATTAGGGGTAGGGAATTTTGAGGGGGTAGGGAGATCCAATTCCTTCTTTGATTTAAGGACTCCACTGTTATGGTTGTGATTTGTGGTTATGATTAAACTATAATCTTTGTGGTTTGACTTGTAGAATCTTTTGTTAGTCTTTTACTGAAGTTGTTTATATTCTATGTTTGACCAGAAATTTCAAGTTATAGACATATAAGATGTTGATTTGAGAACAACTAGTACTAGTTGAGTTGACTATGTCTTGTTAGGGTTTATACGAAGTATATATTTTCCATCTCATTAGAAGTCCTTAGACTGATTTCCAATTGTCATAAAGTTGATGAGAAAAAAATGTAATTGAGCTTCATAAAGTTCTGTATCACTTCTCCTGTGTAAACCTCGTAGTACATAAACATTTCTTGGCAGTGGTCATATGACCCAAATGTTTCAAAGCTGTTTTTGATCAACTGAACTATTGCTCTCATGGATGTTTCTGCCAATGCCAAGGTTTTTGACTAATTGTTTGCATTTGTATATTATGCAGGTATCAAGGTGTTGGGATAAGGATTGAGGATGAAGTCCTTATAACTGACAGTGGTTACGAGGTATTGGCTAATGTCGGTTTGTTGTAATTTGTCATCTACATAGAGTTTGGCCTATTTTGTTGATGCCTTGTGTTGGATGTCATCAACTCCGACTTCCACTTAAGCATCTTTTGTACGTTTTGCTTAGTAAATTACATCCTTTACTCTAAACAGCATTCTGCTAAAGCATCTTATGGTCTTGGAAACAGGTCCTTACTGGGTCAATGCCTAAAGAAATAAGTCACCTCGAGTCCATGTTAAACGACTACTCTCCACAAACAGAAGCAGGTTGCATATGAACTGCAGCTTCAAATTAGAGTGGTGGAGGGTTCCAGTCGAGATACTCCTAACTCAGACAGAAGCAAATGTATTACAAATATTCTTTGGATCTTTGTAGTTTGATGTATCTCGTGTAAACATTGTCAAAAATTCCGGTACTCATATACGTGGCCATATTTAAATTCATGCTTAGTTGTAATGGCTGCTTAGTTGTAATGGCTGCAGCTTCAAATTAGAAGCAGGCTGCTTAGTTGTAATGGCTTATGGAGCTGTAGATGAAAGATCATGTAGAAGAGGAAAATATACCTGTCAAATTTTGCTAGAGTAATATTTCGTGATATTTTTGAAACTTGATTTGTGACTAGGGAAACTTTGCTCATGTCTAATGGCTGCCCGTAAACACGACCTCCTTCAAACAATGCTACTGCCTACCGGGGTGTCACATAACTAATTGATCAATGCTTACAATGCTCTAGTATTAGTTCAAGAAGTTATTCAGGTAGCTTCTTACTGTTTGCCGGTTAACTCTATGATTTATTGCTTATATTAACAATTTCTCCTCAAGTGCCATATTTAAATTTCCACTTAGATCTGCCTGTATTAGCTTCATACAAGGTAGTTTGAAAATTCATGCTTTGAGGCCGAGGTTTCAATTCTTATCTAACTTTTGCGTGATTCCTAATAACACAATAAGTGAAAAATAATTACCTTTGACGTAAAAACACAATTCCTTTCCAATTTAGCTTACAAAGATACGAAAAAGAGAGAACATTAGAAAATTCTTTTCACGGGAGTAATTCCTAATGCGATTAATATTAAGCCTACTACCTACGTGCACAAGTGTTTCACTGCTGAGTAACTTACCATAAGGGTTGGGAAGGTGGTGGTAGCATTGAAATAGCTACTCTCTACCAAAATAGCTCATAAATTAAATCCATCACCATTTAATTGCAAGGCTTCTGGAAGAAGGGTTTAGATGAAGGTCATAATGATGTAGTACACTTGCAGTCTATTTACTTTGCTATTGTTGGATCTCTGCACTGCTAATAAATAAGAAGTGACATATACGAAGTATTTTCCATATTTTTCGTCTCCGTATATGAAAAGTACTCCCTTCGTATTTTATTAATTGCTCTTTGCTCAATTTCTTCATGTATGGAGTTTTAGGAGAAATTGTAAAAAAATAATAAAGTATAAAAGAAGTAAGGTTGTGGAAGGATAAAGTATGATAGTTGGGAGGAAAGAGAATCTAAAAATACAAAAGTATGGTAGTTGGGGGGTCCACCAGGAGAAAAAAATTAGTAAAATATTGTGAAAAAGTTTCAAAAAAAGAAATGGAGCAAGTAATAAAATACAACCACAAAAGTAAGATAAAACAATTAATAATTTACGCAGGGAGTAAGGACTAATCTATGAAGATACTTCGAATGTCGAAAAGTACGTCAAAATCACATATCAATCGGTATTATTAACGTTTGAGTTAGTTTCTTCTAGTCTTCAATGCTTTCTCATATTTGTTGCCTTCACCTACATTAGAGCATACTATACTAGGCCTTTAGGTGGGCTGCTAACAACTTCCACCTACATTGCATCACTAGTCATTATATTTATAAATGTTTTTCCCTCTGAATTTCTTTCAGAAAAAAAAAAAAAAAAAAAAAAAAAAAATTGCCTATCTAATTATTTTCTCACATGTATATATTGAATTAGTGTACGGACTAAACTAATTTTTTTAATTTTTATATTTTATTTTTACACATACATATAAAAAAGAACATTAGAAAAATCTCGGAAAACTCCTAATTCAATTACATTCTAGACCAATTTATTGTATACATAAGAAAGTAACGTCGAATTTTATTAGCTTGATCCAAAAAAGTCAACTTGGCTAATATATACTGGTACAGATGAAATAGTATTTATTTCGGACAAGTAAAAGGACATTGTAAGAAGAACCAAGGTGCATAAACATTGCTATTCATTCATTTTATCAATTATTAATATCATCTGTCTATTTTATACAAGTAACAAACTAAATATTGAAATTTAACAATAAATATTCTCAACAGGCAACAGCCTCTAATCCTCTGTATATGCCACGCGGAATACGAGAATTCCTTTCAAAATTTTCTTCTTTCAACTCTAGTGCAGTTGTGTTGTTAACCAAATTATTTGTTTTGATGCATCAAGTATTAAAATAGTCAATAAAATGTTGTTAAATTTAATCATTAGAGAATGGAAATAACCTGATTGGAGGACTCCCCTTTCTTAGGCTTAAGCTCAGATTTGCAATAGAAAATAAACAACATGCTCAAATTGGGTGATCCGAGATCACCATATTATCTGCAATTCTGACTAATATGGACAATATGTATTTCATTAATTACCAACCATTGTTGTAATAATCGATTAAATTTCTTCATATGATCATAATACTCTAGATAGATCTCATAGAGTTCAATTCTCGTTATCATGCTAACACTCTAGATAGATTTTACGCCGAAACAAGATCATTTCTTCATTATATGATCGTAAAATAATTTGGTCTATTTATTACTTACACTCTAGTATTTTCTCTATCTAGTTTAACTATAATTATATGATCGTAAAATAATTTGGTCTATTTATTACTTACACTCTAGTATTTTCTCTATCTAGTTTAACTATAATTATATGATCGTAAAATAATTTGGTCTATTTATTACTTACACTCTAGTATTTCCTCTATCTAGTTTAACTATAATTATATGATCGTTAAATAATTTGGTCTATTTATTACTTACACTCTAGTATTTTCTCTATCTAGTTTAACTATAATTATATGATCGTTAAATAATTTGGTCTATTTATTACTTACAAGTTGTAAACAAGTCGACATCCATCAAATTTTTTTGTTCTTTTTAGTTTAACCAAATGATGCTTTTGTTGGGTTTTCCTTTGAGATTTCCTTCTTGTAGTTCTTGTAACCACTTCTCCAAAGATTATTTAATGAACCTATTAAAGAAATAAAGAGAACATGTTAGCCACTTAATAATCGTCAAACTAACAAAATATCCTAAATACTACTTACATGTGAAGGATGATTTTTTGAAGGGCCACGTAACTTAAAGACTTGAGAAAAAAGAAGAGCCACATAAGAGAATATTATAGACCTTTTAGTTACTTCACGTCAATGATCGTAGGTGGCTAACAATTTGCCATTTAGCAAAACGCAATCGTTTCAACAAAATGATATACCAAAAGGCCAAAATAACCGTAGTAATTTTGGTAAGTTAGAGATAGTGAACTAAATGAAGACAATAACACTAGATGAATTCATCGATTCATTTAATTACACAACTTTTTCAAAGACCTAATTTATGTTTTTTACCAAGTTAACTTGCAGTGAAAGACATTTTATAGTGCTTTAAGTTCACAGCAAGTAATGCAATTAATTCATTTTTCATGCCTGATTTTCTGCATTAAAGATGCAGGACAAATCAAATACGAGATGTCCAAATGTATAGTCTTGTCACGACATTATATTTATAAGATGTTACCCACCAAAAAAATTTGAATTAGGAACAACTTTCTATTTCCGTCAATGAATTTAATATATGCACCACGTCAAAAAATTAAAACGTGCACACCACCTTGCAAATGTCTATAGCTATTGCGCCAGCTCTAGAAAACTCATCAATAACTAAGGTTGTGGTTGTAGGTAGAAAATTTATGAAAAAAATCACAGTACATTTGACATATTTAAAATTTCAAACTTTTCCTCAAATTAGGCTTATTAGGCAAAATAATTTGCAAAATGGTTGCGTGGCATAACTATTTACCAAACTAAGCTTCAGGGATAAAACGTTGTCCGAGACAGCGTTTTATGCCCTGATTTTTTTTAAAAAAAAATTAAAGTATAAAACGCTGTCTCGGACAGCGTTTTTAGATGTTGACATTTTTTTTTAAAATTTTGTAATTTATGATTTTTTAAAATAAAAAGGAAAAAAAAAAAATTGAATAGCACATAAAACGCTACCTGAGACAGCGTTTATAGTGTATTTTTTTTTTAATAAAACGCTGCCTGAGATAGCGTTTCTTGGGTCAGTATTTTCGTGTTTTGGTCGCAGGATTTTCAGTTCAATTCATCCTCAAGTTTCACTGTATCACTCCCTCTCACTAACGCTGCTGCCACCGCTACCTCTCACTCTCACACTTTCACACTCAACCACCGCCACTGCTACCGCTGCTGCCGCTGCCGCCACTGTTGCTGCCGCCATTTGCTGTTGTTGTTGCCCCTCTTTCTCTCACTCACTCACTCAATTTTGTGGTAAACCCTAAATTCAAATTAGTGTAATTGCTCTTAATTGTGGTTAATTAATGTAAATTGTATCAAATTGTTGCTAATTATTAATAAAATGTGGTAAATTGTTGATAATTATTGATGGTGATGTGGTACATTGTTGATGAAATTGTTCATGAAATTGATGAAATTGTTGATGGTAATGTGGTATATATATGTGAAATTGTTGAAATTATTGATGGTAATATGTGAAATATAATTGTTGATTAGTGTAGACTAATGGTGAGAAGACTCTTATTTCATTATTGATAATTTATCTATCAATTCATATTAGTGTAATGTTTATAATATTAGTTTGTTAGTAATCGTTTTTGCATTTCAACCTAAACTAAGAGTTTATAAATGGAGTTAATGCTTAGTTTGTGGGCAACCTTTTTTACCTCGCTCTAGATTTCAATTATCCTAAAATGTGTTTTGGTTATGTAGAATATGGCTGCACAAAATGTAGTTTTGTTATGCCGATGGGGAGGTGAAATTCTGTTTGATGGACCCCGTGTCGAGTATAGTGGAGGAAATATGGAACCACCAACACTTGAACCGAACATGACTTTAAATGATTTGATGAACGAGGTTCATAGTAGTATTGGTTCAAACCCAAGGAATGTTGAACTAAACATTAAAATGAGTTTGAGACTGGCAATGGGGTTCAAGTGTTACCTGTTTCTACGAATAAGGAGGATTGTTGCAATGAAGGGTGTTCCCACTGAGTATATGTAGAAATGGTGCCTATATGTAGGGGTGTACACCGGTCCAAAACCGGACCGGACCTGGACCGGACCTGTTTGGACCGGGGACCTGAATTAGAGAATTTTGAGGACCGGAGACCGGACCTGAATCAACAGGTCCGGTTTCGGGTCAGACCTGAAAATCCAGGTTCGGTCCGGGTTTAGACCTGAACAGACCTGAATTTGTATTTTCCCTTTTTTTTTTCTTTATTCAAGCCAAAGTTTTGACTAAAAACTATCATCAACAACCTCCTACGAACAACCCACCACCACTAATACATA